TCAGTCATGTCAGAGATTTCCATGCAAGGATTTCCATTTGTGGAACGGGACTTCCCCCTCTTCCCCCTCCATCTGCTCCCTCTTAGATATCTCGATCCCAAGCTTTGTCCATCAGAACTAACACCTTGAACTTAACCAAGTGCTTCCCAGTGCAACTGCTATTATACTTGGTGATCGTTAAGGTTTGTGCACTAACTCTTGCAGAACCCCTTGCACAACAAAGCCAGCCTTTACACTTGCTGCATTAACGTTATGTTGGATCTCACCTCTGGCTTTTCAGAGTGGAATTTCATGTTCATATTGGGAGAGGTGTTCCAGAAGATATGGGGATATAATACATGCTGATGAGTTTAAAACAACAACAACAAAGTGATGTGGAAATATGGTGAACTGAACTTATGATTGGAAAAGACAGGAGCTGAGAGAAACTGAAATTGACAAAATTCAGCCATCAGTATTAGCATAATATTATTGACAGGCTTGGTCAGCATTCTTCTCAGTATTCTCCTGTTTTATGTTCCATACCTTTTAGTTAAGCACTGGGAAAATCAATACAGTGGTACCTCAGGTTACGTATGCTTCAGGTTACAGACGCTTCAGGTTACAGACTCCGCTAACCCAGAAATAGTGCTTCAGGTTAAGAACTTTGCTTCAGGATAAGAACAGAAATCGGGCTCCGGCAGCACAGCGGCAGCAGGAGGCCCCATTGGCTAAAGTGGTGCTTCAGGTTAAGAACAGTTTCAGGTTAAGTATGGACCTCTGGAATGAATTAAGTACTTAACCTGAGGTACCACTGTACAAAGGCAGTAAAAAAACAAAACCCCAAATAAGGTGACCTACACTGAAGGACTGTTGTATGAAACACCAAAGTAATTTATCTGAAAAACTGGACCAAGGCTTTGGCAGAAATCCACAAATCCCATGAATCTTTGAAGCAGATTTCTGAAAGCAAGACTTTCAAGGTTTATATGAAGAACATTCCATATTATTATAGATTCTCTTCCCCCTCCTTCTCCAATACATCTTACAAGTAATAATTTTGCAATTGATGTTACAATGCCTTGAAATTCAATACCAGACCAACAAAAATGAAAGCCGTTACGGTTTCATTTTGAGCTGAAATACTTTTTTGAAAAACTTTAAATAGACCATTTTGTCATAATGCTGTGATTTTAAATGCACTAAAAATAGAATTAATAACCATCACATTAACTACTCTTTCATTAAAGGAAGAAATCTAGCACTAAATTATCAAATGATCAAATTTACGAGGCCCGGGTTAGTAAAGATTTTTTGCATGACCATAAATCAGATGTCACGACTCCCGCCTGGCGATAGCTGCAAATTAGGAACTACGGTAAATTTCAACAGACATTAATAATATAAACATCTCCACACTTTAACCAATTGGAAGGATGATGCTGTTTGCTCCCAAATAGATACCTAATCTCTCCCTGTCTTTCTGTCTGTCTGTGTGTCTGTCTTTATCTTGTTCAGCGATGACTTGTCACAATTTCTTTGGCGGCTAGAGGATGTTCCAGGATTAAAAAATAATAATAAATGTTGTCATCTTTTTTGAAAGATGAGAGTCTATGAGCGGTCTTATCAGAGGGGAAATGTAACTTGATTTCCAGAAGGCTAAGCAATGATGCTAAGTCACAGTCCCTGGCGTAGGAATAGGGCAGACGGAGGGGCACCTAAGGAGAGTGGTGATCTGCCTAGGGGGCGCTTTTGTCTACCTCTGGTGGATCGCCAATGCATTGATCTGCTCGGGTGGCCCACACGAGGTTCAAGGCTCACAGCGGCTGCCCCCATGTGAGGATCGCTGTGGCTGCGGCCCTGTGGGCGGGTCGCTCTGCCCTGTGGGCAGGTCACCCTGCCCCCGCCACACCGGGTACCAGAGGAGCTAGCTATGCCCCTGGTCACAGTTGCTTTCTTTATTCATATTTAGCTTTCCGCATATCTTTAAAAGAGGGCTCAACAGCCTTTGAGGGCCTGTAGGCTGATTAGGGGTGGCTAACCTGCTGTAAGAAGCTAACTCAGCGGGTGGTGCTGTGGGTTAAACCACAGAGCCTAGGACTTGCTGATCAGAAGGTCGGCGGTTCGAATCCCCGCGACGGGGTGAGCTCCCGTTGCTCGGTCCCTGCTCCTGCCAACCTAGCAGTTCGAAAGCATGTCAAAGTGCAAGTGGATAAATAGGTACCGCTCCGGTGGGAAGGTAAACAGCATTTCTGTGCGCTGCTCTGGTTCGCCAGAAGCGGCTTAGTCATGCTGGCCACATGACCCGGAAGCTGTATGTCGGCTCCCTTGGCCAATAAAGCGAGATGAGCGCCGCAACCCCAGAGTCGGTCATGACTGGACCTAATGGTCAGGGGTCCTTTACCTTTACTTTACCTAACCTGCTGTAAGAAGCTAACTCAGCTTCAGCTAGCATGGCTGATGGTCAAGGATGAGGGAAGTCATGGCAACGTCTGGAGGGATGCAACTTAGTCACCCCTCCTTAAAACCACCCTTTATGGTATGCAGCAAGTAGTCCTATTACCTCCCCGTATTACAGATGGAGGGCTGAGGATGAGAGGCTGGTTGCTTGCCCAAGTGCTTCATGATGTCGTGGGTTTGGCCTGATTCACTTCTCATTCTTGGGGTCCTGTACCCAATGAGGATTCGAATCCAACAAAGGAGATTGCTTAACTTAGACAAGTTTCTTTGTAAGATTGTGACCTTAGCTGGGCACTTGAGGGTCCTGATCAGCATTCCAAAAGGAGCTAGGTTGCAAGAGCAACAGCTAAGTGGTGGTGTCCTCCAGACAAATGTATGGGTCTTCCTCCCCTTCTAGCTGCCAGGTAGGAGAACAATAGCCAGAAAGTGTGAGAGAGCTGAGCTTGAAAGAAGGCTGGGAGTTAGAGCTGGAGCCAAGCTTGATCTGTCCTGGATCCAAAACTATGACTAAGGGAGAAGCAAGATCTGTTGGGGTGATCATGTTATCAATTTCGTTGGACTGGTCATGCTGTGCAGATGCCTGATGATCGTCTTCCAAAGCAACTACTCTATTCCAAACTTAAAAATGGAAAGTGTAATGCTGGTGGTCAACAAAAGAGGTTTAAAAACTGTCTCAAGGCAAGTCTTTAAAAATGTAGTATAAACACCAACAACTGGGAAACACTGGCCTGCAAGCGCTCCAATTGGAGAGCAGCCTTTACCAAAGGTGTAATGGACTTTGAAGACACTTGAACTCAGAACGCACGGGAGAAACGTGCTAAGAGGAAGGCACGCTTGACAAATCCACACTGTGATCAACTCACGCCCGGGAACCAATGTCCCCACTGTGGAAGGATGTGTGTATCCAGAATTGGCCTCCATAGTCACTTACGGACTCATTGTTAAAACCGTGTTTATGGAAGACAATCTTACTCAGCTACGAGTGATCGCCAAAGAGAAGAAAAGAGAAATGTTGTGAGCCCATCCACCTTATGTTCAGGTTGTAAATATGTGTAAATGGCCGCCGAGACCATATAACACCGGTCCTGAAAGATCTACATTGGCTCCCAGTACGATTCCGAGCACAATTCAAAGTGTTGGTGCTGACCTTTAAAGCCCTAAACGGCCTCAGCTCAGTATACCTGAAGGAGCGTCTCCACCCCCACCGTTCAGCCCAGACACTGAGGTCCAGCACCGAGGGCCTTCTGGCAGTTCCCTCACTGCGAGAAACGAGGTTATAGGGAACCAGGCAGAGGGCCTTCTCGGTAGTGGCGCCTGCCCTGTGGAATGCCTTCCCATCAGATGTCAAGGAAATCAACAACTATCTGACTTTTAGAAGAAACCTGAAGGCAGCCCTGTTTAGGGAACTTTTTCATGTTTGATGTTTTATCACATTTTTAATATTCTGTTGGGAGCCGCCCAGAGTGGCTGGGAGAATCCAGCAAGATGGGCAGGGTATAAATAATAAATTATTATAATTCTAATTATAAAACCATATATCCTAAAGACACCCCAGCCTACCATACCCTCCAACATTTCTCCGATGAAAATAGGGATACCCTATTCAACAACAACAACATTTGTACTCCACCCATCTGACTGTCAGCTCCCCTGTAACACTGACTGGGCTGCCCCAGCCCCACACTGGGCAGCTTCTAACATATATAAAAACATAATAAAACATTCAACATTTTAAAAAGTTCCCTATACAGGGCTGCCTTCAGGTGTCTTCTAAAGGTTGATTAGTTACTTGTCTCCTTGTCTCGGAGGTCACTTAAATCCTTATTGTTGTTGTTGTTGTTTAGTCCTTTAGTCATGTCCGACTCTTCGTGACCCCATGGACCAGAGCACGCCAGGCCTTCCTGTCTTCCACTGCCTCCCGCAGTTTGGTCAAAGTCATGCTGGTAGCTTCAAGAACACTGTCCAACCATCTCGTCTTCTGTCGTCCCCTTCTCCTTGTGCCCTCAATCTTTCTCAACATCAGGGTCTTTTCCAGGGAGTCTTCTCTTCTCATGAGGTGGCCAAAGTCTTGGAGCCTCACCTTTTAGGATCTGTCCTTCCAGTGAGCACTCAGGGCTGATTTCCTTCAGAATGGATAGGTTTGATCTTCTTCACTTAACTCGAGTTGAGTTAAGTGAAGAAGATCAAACCTATCCATTCTTACCCTCCAACATTTCTACATGAAAATATGGACATCCTGAGGAAAAGGAGGACTTTCTGGTCTCAAATCAGAAACTGGGATGGGTTCCGTAAATCTGAGACGTTCCTGGAAAATAGGGAACGGAGGGTCTGGGCTACGCTGACCTTCATTCCAAGGAAACTTTAACCTAGGTAAGAGCTTGGTACCCCTAGAGCCTCTCACCAGTTGGAGATTTGTGTGGTGTACAACACAGACATTGGCTTTGCATGTAGCAATACAAAGAGAATTTCACTTTGCTCTTAGAAGAGAAGAGCGGAGCCTCTGCATGCATAAAGCTCTATGCACAAATCAGAGACCCCTCCATTGTGTCTGTTAAACAGAAGTGCAGACTCTGATGAATTCAGCAAAATGTGCCTCAGCATAATGTCCCTGATCTCAGCTTTATATTTCATCATCAAGTACAGCCATTTAATAACTGCTACTGAATCACAAAACGCCACACACCATTCAGGCTGCATGATTGGCATGTTAAAAATTAAATGATAATTTAGTGTAAAAGCCTTGACTCATGTCTCAAAACTAATGTGGCGTTTTAACTATCAGCTGTCTAGGCAAAAGGAAGTCATCCAGCCAGCCATTATGTCTCAGGTAGGCAGAGAATGCGAAAACAGGAAATGCAAAAGGTTACAAAGGCCCCAACAGGCCGCCAAACCTGAGCTCATAAACTGCGTTTATGTCCTGGTGAATCGCGAGTTGTGTGGAGTTAAATATTCAGGTACTGTATGTCCTACCCAGCAACTGCCCCAGTTAGATCTCTCAGCATAGCTCTAAGCACAGCACCCAAAAACATGTGGGATTGTGACAGGTTATGTGACTCACATGGGTGTGTGGCCAGGATGATGTGTACCCTGTGTTTTGGTCTCAACATTTTGGAGGGTGTGGGATGTTGTGTTATTTTAGGAGCTTGCAGGAAGACTGGGTGAGCAGAATGGCACAGTTAGAGCAGATGTCCTCAGTTTTCATTCCTCAAAATCAACAACATGGGAATAAAGGTGATGGGTTTTATGTATTTATCTTTTTTATTTGTAAGATTTCTTGCCCACCCTTCACCATAAGGTCACAGGACAGGTTACAATGATATAATAATACAGGTATACAATGGTACCTCAGGTTAAGTACTTAATTCGTTCCGGAGGTCCATTCTTAACCTGAAACTGTTCTTAACCTGAGGTACCACTTTAGCTAATGGGGCCTCGTGCTGCCACTGCACCACCGCCGTACAATTTCTGTTCTTATCCTGAAGCAAAGTTCTCAACCCGAGGTACTATTTCTGGGTAAGCAGAGTCTGTAACCTGAAGCATCTGTAACCTGAAGCGTCTGTAACCCGCGGTACCACAGTACAAACAAGTAAAACAGTGACAACAGTTCTAGTTACAGGCAGGTAGCCGTGTTGGTCTGCCGTAGTCAAAACAAAATTTAACAAATTCCTTCCAGTAGCACCTTAGAGACCAACTAAGTTTGTATTGGTATGAGCTTTCGTGTGCATGCAGGGTATCTGAAGAAGTGTGCATGCACATGAAAGCTCATACCAATAACAAACTTAGTTGGTCTCTAAGGTGCTACTGGACACGGGTGGCACTGTGGGTTAAACCACAGAGCCTAGGACTTGCCGATCAGAAGGTTGGTGGTTCAAATCCCCACGACAGGGTGAGCTCCCGTTGCTCGGTCCCTGCTCCTGCCAACCTAGCAGTTCGAAAGCACGTCAAAGTGCAAGTAGATAAATAGGTACCGCTCCGGCGGGAAGGTAAACGGCGTTTCCGTGCACTGCTCTGGTTCGCCAGAAGCAGCTTAGTCATGCTGGCCACATGACCCAGAAGCTGTACGCCGGCTCCCTCGGCCAGTAAAGCGAGATGAGCGCCGCAACCCCAGAGTCGGTCACGACTGGACCTAATGGTCAGGGGTCCCTTTACCTTTACCTTAAGGTGCTACTGGAGTGACAACAGTGACATCACTAGAGATGCTTCTATGACATCACCAGGAGCTGCCCCCAGGTCTCAGGTATGGGCTCTGAAATCTCCTGACCTGGCAAGCTGAGCACAGAAGCCAGTCCCACTGGAGGCAGGTTAAAGGCAGGATAAAGCCCTGTCTTGATCCGATGAAACATGTTGCATCCTCAAAATATCTGACTTTCATCAGCCTGGCCTGCTGATTGCATGTAAGGCACCTGCTGTTGAATGACAGTTTAAGCCTGCTCTGGTTGTAAGTTTTTGACTTTACAGATGTTATTAAAAAAAGACATTCCCACAGACCTGTTCATTCCCAGAGAAATCCCTTTCCAGATGGGAATTAGAGAGCAAGTTTCAGCAAAATCTGCTTCTGTCTCACTTAAACGGGGGGGGGGGGGGATATTACAGCAACCTTCCTCTCCTAATCTGTTCATTTCAGGTTTGATTTACCTGCGAAACTTTGATCAGAAATCTCTGTAGCTTTGTGAGATTATATGTGGGTGTGGAGAGTTCTTTGCCCCCCCCCCATGGGTGGAAAGTATAACAAGGTTCTGTGATTATGATTATATATTTCAAAAGCCAGGATTAGCCTGTGCTTTGTGATTAAAAAGATATTGTACGGAGATTGAAAAGGGGGAGAGAATCACATTTAAAAAAGACTTCTTGGCTATTTGTTGGCATTGAAGCCCGGCCTGGAACCTAATAGTTGGGAATATAAGAAATTTCTGTATACGAGCACTTGTGAATAGCTCAGTTTGGTGAGAGCATTGTGCTGATAACATCAAGGTTGAAGGTTTGATTCCCTTATTCCTGCATATTCCTGCATTGCTGGGACTTAGACTAAATAATTCTCAGGGTCCCTTCCAACTCTACAATTCTACAAGCTCAGATCATTGGTACATCTAGCTCAGTATTGTCAACACTGGCAGGCTCTTCCGGATTTCGGAAAGGTAACCTGCCCAGCAATTCCTCTAGATGCCAGGAGATTTCCTGGAAATTCCAGGGGGTGAACATGGGAACTTTTGCATGCAAGGCCGATGCTGTACCAATGAGCTACAGTCTTTCCACCCTGTTTTGGCAGCTTCCACTTTGGTAGGTAAAGGGACCCCTGACCATTAGGTCCAGTCGTGGCCGACTCTGGGGTTGCGGCACTCATCTCGCTTTACTGGCCGAGGGAGCCAGCGTACAGCTTCGGGCAACCAAAATATTATGTGGCAACAGCTGTGCAACAACTGAGAAGGAACTGAAGTGAAATAACATTATAATCTGAAGTATCCTATGTTTTATCCACTTTGTGTCATAAACTTCATTTGTTAAATAAAATATCTCTTGTTTATTTGATCAAATCCTGCCTGGGACTCCAAATTATTAAATTTTCCCTCACACAAGTCCCCCATAAAATAATCTGGGATAGATTGTAGGAATTCATGGAACTGGTGTTCTGTGAGGTGGGTGCACTATATTTAAGTGAGGGTGGGCCCAATGGCACCAGGGGGGAAAGTGCCGTTGCGCCATCACTCCTGATATATATATGGAAAAAGCTAATTTTTCTGGAAATCTACATTACCTCAGAAGTGGGACAGAGCTTCTGAAATAACCCTCTCTTTTCTCTTCCATGGATTCTACTTGTTCAAGCTTAGCTGGAGCATAAGGTGCAAAAATTAGGACAATGTTCCAAAGAGTGGTAATCTAGCAGTTTATCTATCTCTGATCATCTTCTGGAAATCTTCCAGGATTATGGGTTTACAAGGAGAGATTAGCAAAATAACTGAAGAACCTTCAGGTTAGTAAATAGGAGGATTAGAAAGCAATGGTGGGGAGGCTCTTTGGGACGATGGATCTTCACCAGAAGCAATAAATAAAAGCTGATCTTAAACTATTGGGTAGAGAAGGGAGAAGGAAGATGATCAAGTGTGAAATTGCAGAAGGAGAGTTAGAGGGTGGGGTTTAGAGGCTATTAGGGATGTGAAGATTCTTCTTCTTCCGTTCCCTTACTATTCTCTGGATTTCCCCTGCCATTTCTGCTGAATTTTAGCTTAACCAGGACAATGTTTAGGTTTAATTCCAGAGGTGGAACAACAACAACAACAACAATCTTGGTTTAATTTATATATTTCTTTTCTTTTTTAAATATAGTTTTATTGATTTCCAATATATAAGAATTGCAAAAAAGAAAGAAAGGGATACAAAAACAAAATCCCAACATGCCACCCTCCCTGCTCGTTAAGTTTGCCGAAGTCCAGTCTGTGATTTCAGTAGTTGCCGTTCTTCAGGACTGTCAGTGAAGTATTTATAAAAGGATGCCATATTTCAACAAAATCGTCTACATCATTTCCATTATTCAATGCATGTAATCTCTTTGTTTTTTTCTGATACAGCAATAGACCATACATTCTGCTTCCAGCAAGAGATGTTATTATTAACACCAATTCATTATTTGCTTTCTAAATAGTGAAAGACATTTTAAAACAAGTTTTAAGACAAGACGAAAAGCAGACACTTGCAGTAAAAGACCTAGCTGGAAAAGCCCATCAGAAGAAAAATGTTTTCTTTTCTTATATATATATAATTTTTATTAATTTTTTTGTTTTACAAATTAAAATACTCATTTTACATCCTCAAGATACCAGTGACTTCTCTTCTTCTCTTTCCATGGTTCATTTTACATATAATAAATCCCTGCATATTTTACAAAAACTATACCATTCGGTATTCCATTATTGCATCCATCAAAACTCATTCAAAACTTGCCTGTTGAATTTATCTTAATGCTGCCAGCATTTTCAGCTGAACATAATTATTTCCCATATATTCAATAAACGTTTTCCAATCTTCTCTAAATTTATGTTCTTTTCATTCTCTTATTCTATAAGTTAAGTCTGCAAATTGTGCATATTCCATCAACTTAAGTTGCTATTCTTCTTTAGTTGGGACCTCGCTCATTTTTCCATTTTTGGGCTAACAAAACATGGGCCACAGTAGTGGCATACATAAATACAGTGGTACCTCGGGTTAAGAACTTAATTCATTCTGGATGTCCATTCTGAACCTGAAACTGTTCTTAACCTGAGGTTCCACTTTAGCTAATGGGGCGCAAGTCCAGTGCATTCCTCCAAAGGGACTGGAGGGGAGTTATCCTAAATATCCCACATGGAGAAAAGACATCATAGACAACCTAGGTCTTCTAGGGAATCTGTTGCCTTCACAAAAAACAACATCCTTCTTGATGAAGAAGAAATCAAGGCTAAAAACTACGAAAGATCTTGCTGCCCAGGGGAGGTTTATTCTGGCATGGGTCTGGTGCTCAGCTGCCATTTCTGATGCTTTGAATCGCTGTGCATTTCTACTGCATTCCATTCATTGTTTGAATTTGTTTTCTCGCCTTGTTTCTTGTTTGTTTTCTTGCCTTACATGCTGTTGTGTTTTTGGTATGATCAGTGGCGTAGCGTGGGTTGTCAGCACCCGGGGCAGGGCAAGTAATTTGCGCCCCCTAACCCGTGGATTTGCGCCCTCTAACCCGTGGATTTTAGCACTCAAGTCTCTTCCACTAGATTAGTTAAAGAAACCCTTACCCCCTAAGCACATGTATTGTTTGCAGTGAGAGAGAGTGAGTGAGCCAGGTAGGGGCAGAGAGCTGTGAGTGCGAGCGCGCCCCCCCAGATGTTGCGCCCAGTGTGGCCGGCCCTCCCTGCACCCCCCACGCTACGCCACTGGGTATGATTGTGGTGATTGTAACGTTTCCCCGTTTTCAATGCTGTTATGACTGTGAGCTGCTTTGAGCTCAACGTCATGGTTGGAAAAGCAGAACACAAATATTAAATCGAATTGAATTTAAGACTGGGAAAATAAGAAACACAGAGAAACAAGGATTGACACATTCATCCATCCCTTCTAGGGACAGAGGCAAAAGTGGGTGGAGCAACAAATGTCTTCCTTCCTTCCTTCCTTCCTTGCTTCCTTGCTTCCTTGCTTCCTTGCTTTCATTTGCTTTTGTATAACTAGTCTAGTTCCTGCAGACTCACGCCTCACATTCTATCCTCCATCCATTGCAGCAAGATGCATAATAGGAGTTCACATTCCAGCTGGGCAAAAACACTCAAGGAGGATGCAAATCAGGGCCAGTAAGGGGAGGGGCCTGAGGAAAGGGGTGTGGCCTGAGGAAAGTATCTGCAGCCTGGGGAGTGGGTACAGTGTAGGGAGAATCACAAAGATTTGAAGTTCCTCACCCCTGATTTAGATGGTTTCATTTCATCACTTGCTCTCTTCTTCCACCTTGTTTCTAGGCTAAACCTTTCTTTCAATTCCTTTTCCTTTTTCCCCCTTTTGGTCAGATGTCTTTTATTTATTTTAAAAACAAAACAAGCTCTTTCTCTCCTTCACGTCACAGCTGATGTTTCAAAGCTCTGGGCCACAGGACATCTGCATAGGTGCAGATAAATCTTGTTGGCATTTTAATTTCCTCTCTGGAATTTTTGTTTTGCCACGGTGGCCTAGAGGAATTCTGGGAGCGCGTTCTGTGATTGCTGTCCTTATGAAAGCAGCTGTTCCGTGAACGTTGGGTATTTTGTTACCTCGTCATAAGCAGGAGAGATATTATGGCACGGTAGGGGCTGCTCAGGCAATATCCAGCCCTTTTCTCATTCACTGGGGTCTCCCTGATTGATTTAACATGTCAACTCGAGAGCATTCAGTCATCTCTGATAGTTGTTCGACTCCATGTTATTTATGTAAACGATGCTTTGCTTTGCTCCTCTTCTTTCGTACCAATAAATCTAGCTGGACAAAAGATAAGAGCCCTTTCCTTGAGGGATTACAATAACAGCAGTGGTCTGTTTCAATCTTCCTGACTATGAGGAGGAAGACATGGGCAAGTCCATTCAGGGGCTTATGAGAAAATGGGAGAACTCAGTGGGAAAGGATAAATAAAATCAGGAGTGATTAATGGAATCTTCAGCAATTAAAAATGGATTGAAAGTCCAATAGGAACTTAGTCCTGGCTTACATTAAATTGGGAAGCTTTATTAGAGCACCTGGATTTTCCATTAGAGGCGCCATTTGCTCTATACCTTTAAAGCAGTACCATTAACCTTTAAACAGTTGTGGCTTTGCCCCCCCAAATCCTGAGAATTATACTTAGCTAAGGGTGCTGAGAGTTGCTAGTAGATCCCTCTCCCCCCCCCCCCCCCGTGGAGCTACAATTCTCAGAGTGATTTAACAGACAATTCCTTTCCCCAGGGAACTCTGGGAATTGTAAATATTCCCTATATCGCAAAATTCAGAGAAGTTCAAACTTAGAAGGGAAGCTAAGCTTTGGTTCGCATTATTTCAGAAAGTGTGGATGAGGTGGGTTGGCCTTTAAATGGAAACAAAATTGAATTTCTCTGCTTTCTCTAGTGGTGGGTGAAATGTTACATGTTTAGTTGAAGTATTGGTTGATATTAAATGCCATATGACTTCCTTTTAAACAAGTGTTGGTAAAGAGTAGGTGGAAGCTTGGATCATCTTGGTGTGCTTCTAGACTGTTGGCATTTTAGGGTGTGGTTCAATCCAACGCTGACATTTCATATGCAATTTTATGTAAAATATGGTACACACTTGAAATATACTTGGAGTCGAGAGTGGATTTCATGCTCTTTATTCAGCTCATAGTGGTGAGGGGGAATGGAAGTTCCCCCAGAATGTCTGCTTTATATACATTCTTTACACAATGTGCCCCATGTGATTGGCTAATTCCGGGATTCACCTGTAGGCCAATCAGGTTGCGGATTCACTTCCACCTGGAGCTGGATTGGGTGGCTCCTGTGGACTAATCAGACTGCTGCATTCTGAATCCTATTGTTCTCGGACCAATCAGACTGCTGCCTTTTGGATCCTATTCAACTCAGTACATAACAACACTTTTAAAATGTAAAGTACCGTAAGCACTTTTCAATGCTTTCATCCATCAAACTTGCATTTTACATGCAACTTTCCTGTAAAGTACATATATTCATGCTCAAGTTTTGTAGACCAAAACTGTACATCGTGAAATTGGAAGAAGTGCGTCATCAGACCAGGAGTTGTGTTCTGATGCGCAAGCCATTTTAGCTTGGCCCATTGCAAAAAGGGGACCCAACGAGGACTGGAAACAACCCTACTCCTCTTTCTTTTTAACTGCCTCAATCTAAACATGGCTCCCTTTCTGGAGCAACAGGTGGGCATTTGAGAAGCACCTCCCTTCCTTCTTGTGCCAAATCCAGAGGGTCCTCGAGCCAATCGGAAAGGGGGTGTTTAATCCCAAGGTTACCGACTGACATGGCCGGTCTCTTTTTCACACTGCTGAACCCAGTGAACAATCTGCTTCTGCTTGAGCCCGAGTCATGTGTATTAAAGGAAATGATTGCTTCTAAGGAGATTTATTGTAGGTCATTCTCTAAGGAGGAGGAGGCAAGGGGGGAAAATTGTGCTAACATTATCTCTCCTGGCTCTTGTACGGCTGTTAAACATTTTTTTAAAGGGAGGGGGATGATAGATAGATAGAAAGACAGGAGACAGGTGGATGGTGGCCGGGGGGGGGGGAGAGAATCACATGCTCTCTGAATACCGGTGGCCACCTCCTCCTTCTCTCACTGTTACCATGTCATCAGGAAAGGAAAGAGCCTGGTTTCCTTATCCCTTCCTCCAACTCGGCACCCCCTCCTCTGCACAGCACCGATTTATATGAAAATTAAGATTACAAATTAAAGCCAGGCTATCCCAGTTTCCAGCTCATCAGCCCTCCAATAAAAATGATGTTGAATTTCTTTCTCTGCGCATAATTCCCAGGAGATTACCCTGTCCTTACAGCTTAGCTGTGTCCCTGATATAAAAGATCTCTATCCACTTTTATTGAAATCAAGAACTAACATCATAATCCTAATATTGAGGTATAATCTTCATTAGTGCCTGACCCTCTTGAGGGTTCCCTCCCCCCCCCCAATCGCCCCTTTCCCCCACCAGTTTCCTCTCTCAATTGCTGCAGTTTATATTCATTTGGCTGATAATCTCTTGGTGTTTACCTTTCGGTGGATAAGATTATAAACCGAATCATGATAGAGGAGGGACAGGGGGGAAAGTTTTCTGAAAATCCTCACGGTCACACCCAATCTTGAGCACACTATTATTGAAAGACACTGCTATATTAGATATAGTTTGGCCCTCTGAATCAAGAGCTGTTGCCCATCTTGCACCTAGAGTGGATTTTTTAAAAATAATCTTTATTACAAAATAATTTACATAGAACATAAGCACAACAAGAAGAAGAAGAGTTTGGATTTGATATCCCGCCTTTCACTCCCTTTAAGGAGTCTCAAAGCGGCTAACATTCTCCTTTCCCTTCCTCCCCCACAACAAACACTCTGTGAGGTGAGTGGGGCTGAGAGACTTCAGAGAAGTGTGACTGGCCCAAGGTCACCCAGCAGCTGCATGTGGAGGAGCGGAGACGCGAACCCGGTTCCCCAGATTATGAGACTACTGCTCTTAACCACTACACCACACTGGCTCTCAACAAAAG